ATCGGGCTCATGAAGGACGCCTTCCAGCCGCACCACCACCACCACCACCTCAGCCCCCACCCGCCGGGGACCGTGGACAAGAAGATGGTGGAGAAGTGCTGGAAGCTCATGGACAAGGTGAAAGGCCTGCGGAGGAGCGGCGGGAGCAGGGTGGGCGTGGGCGGAGGGGCCGCAGGGAGGGGAAGGAACGGACAGAGGAAGCGGGGGGAGGGGACGGGGTGACCAGACAAAGATGGGGTGGGGGCTGGGGTGCAGGGTAACTGGGAAGCCACAGGAGCGGAAGTCTCATGGGGCTGCAGAGTTTGGGGCTGTGCAGGGTGTAGGGATGTGGGTCACTGCAATGGCCTGGGAGGTAGGGGGGAGGTGGGCGAGGGAGAGTGTCGGATTCACCGGCCAGGGCTCGGAGCTGGCTAGTCGAGATCTAACTGGGGAATTACGCTTCTGGGCTCCGATTGAGGGAGGGACCTGGGGTCAGGACAGCCCCGCAGGCAAACTGTGCTCTAGCGTGTAGTTTTTTTTTCTCACTAAGATGTGACACCGAGATTAAAGAAATGGAGATGTTTAAATGGGCCCGGGAAGGAACTTTCCTCCACGCCCAGCGCTGGCTTGAGCGTTTTGTTGCCCTCCTAAACACTGGACGCGATCCATCAGCTGGTGCTGAGATATGCACTGATTAAACCACAGTTCTGGTTAGAACCATTATCTTCTGAACGATGGATGGACGGGGCGTGCTCAGGAGCCAATTCGAACTTCTTCCTAACTTCCTACACAGGCTGCTCTTAGCTGGCATCAGCTCTTTAGGAATGGGCCCGACTTCTTAGTACAGGACCTGACTTTAAGCTTGTTCGATGAGCTTTGATGACTTTTTTTTTTTTTTTAAAGCAAGTGCAAAAAAGAAAAAAAAAAAAGAAAAAAACCTTCCTGATATTAGGCAGTTCAAATTTGTCATTTGGGAGAATTTTACTTCCGTATTGTTGTGTCTATATATACATAGTGTTGAAGCAGTTCAACGCTTTATTAGAATTCAGTTTCCATGTTAATAATTTATTTTGGGACAATTCATACTGTGGATGAAAAGTGACTAGAAGGATCTGGCATGTTAAAAGAGAATGCTGTTATTTCCTCCAGGGTAAAATTGGTTTTCTTTGGTTCCTCTCTGGGTCTAGGTTCCTCTTCTTTAAAGTTCTTCATGGGTTGTTTTGGACTAGAAACAGCTAGTAAAATGGTTATGAAGCACTTGGCGAATGTAATATGCTTGTAGAAATGCTTAATAAGTCCTGCGTGTGAATTAACACTCTCGCTGTGCATACCAGTGGTTTCAGAGTTGGTTTTTGTCTTGTCAAGTAATTGTAATGAATGGCACAGTTTTTGTATGTTGATTATATGGGTGGTGGTGTACTGATTTTATTATTAGAAATTGTAATAAAACTGAGGCCTGCAGGTGGCGTGATGGGAAAGGGCCCTGGACGCCCACATTGACTGTAGTTCGAGTCCCCAACCTGTTTTTTCACTTTCTCTCTCTCTCTCTGTCCCTCTCTGGTCAAATTAAAAAGAAATAAATAAAACTAAATAAAGTAATAAATTTTTAAAAAATAAAACCATTACAGAAAGTTAGGTGTGTAAATGAAACTGTATATGTTTTGACATCTTTAAAAAAATACCCAAAGTATTTAAACTCTGAAGTTTGTGCATTTGCATCTTATGAATTTACCATTAAGAACTGAAAAAGGGGGCTGACAGGTAATGTGGTGGCTGACGATGCTGGACTCCCATATGGGTGATTGTGGTTTGAGTCCTGGACCTGGTGGCTTGCTTTTTCACTTTCCTTTTTTCTCTCTCTCTCTCTGGTCAAATAAAAAAAAAAAAGATCATGGTGATAAATAAAGTTAAAGGGAAAAATAGTTCTTGAAGTCAAGGACTAATTTTTTTTTTTTTTTAAAGACTTTAAAAGGGGACCCAAGAGATGGCGTAGTGGTTACCTCACTGGACTTTCATATGTGGCCCAACTGCAATTTGAGTCCCGGACCTGGCGGCTCGAAATTTACCCTGAGCGAGTGAGCGAGCGAGCGTGTGTGCGTGCGTGCCTGTGTGCACAAGATCCTCGGAGGGAAATGGAGGAGAAGGGATTGCAGCGAGGACATCTCCTTGGGGAGTGGTTTCCCTCTCACAGTCTCTGTCTCTCCAGCAAGTACACGCGTCCTAAGGCAAAAACCTCTTTAAAAAAAAAAAATGAACTTAAAGAGGTTCCTCTGATGTAGAAAAAAAAATTTCCTTTCAAAATTAGTTTCTCATATAAAATATGTGGATGCAGTGTATCAAAATTAATATTGAATAGTGATCACTCTGTAAAAAAATAAACTTAATTTAACTTCTGTATTTCTGTAAATAAATGACAAATTATAAATAGCTCTAGTCTACAAGGTAGTCCAAATAAAATCTGTTTTTAATGGATAAATTATAGGGCCAGCTTCATGGTCTAGTGGTTAAGGCAACTGGATCCCTCCCACGCAGTTTGAGACCCAGACCTTGTGGCTTGAAAACACTGGGCTTATGTCCACCCAAATTCTGAAAATATGGAGAGTTAGAGAAGGTATTTCAGAGGTGGAGAAGGGATTGCATCTGTGGACTGTTCTCTGTTGGGGGGTACTCCTCTCTCTCTCTTTCTCTCTCTCTCTCTGTCTCTGGGGAGTACACATACCCTCTAGCAAAATAAATAAATACAGGATAAATTATAAGAGTAATCTACAAAATAGTCCAAATAAAAATTAACCCTTAAGTCTTACTCCTGGGGACAGCAGGTGGCATGGTGGTTAAGGGTGCTGGACTCCCACATGGCTGACCTCAGTTCCAGTCCCTGACCTGGTGGCTTGCTTTCTCACTTTCTATCTCTTTCTCTCACTTTGTCCCTCGCTGGTGAAATTAAAAGAAAGAAAGAATGCTTAATAATATAATTTTTTTAAAAAACTCTTACTCCTTCATATCTCTTTTAAAAAATTATTTGAGACCAGCAGGTGGTGTAATGGTTGTCACTGGACTCCCATGTGGTTGACCGTGGTTCGAGTCCCAGACTAGCAGCTTAAAACTCATGCTGAGTGTGTGTGCCCAAAATCCTGAGAGGAGAATGAAGGAGAAGGGATTGTGGCGCAGCCATCTCTCCCTGGGGGGGTAATTCCTTGCTTTCTGTCTCTCTGGCCACTGCATGCGCCCTATAGCGCCCCCAGCAGTAATCTCTCAAAAAAATTATTTAATGTAATTATCGTTATTTTTAATTTGACCAGAGAGACACAGAGGTTGGGGGAGTGAGAAAGCAAGCTGCCAGGTCTGGAACTTGCACCACGGTCAGCCATGTGAGTCCAGCACTTAAGCCATCATGCCACCTGCCGGCCCAGCACCTTCCTATCTTTCAAGTATGCCTTGTTGGATTTTGACTTCTGCAGACTTTAACTGGAAGTCTAAAGAGAACTCCAAGTTTGAGGCAAGATGCTTTTCAGGTGTTGGTGGTTTCAAGATAAGCGGGCTTCTAGCTTTTCTGTCCTAGTGTGGAGAGGGTGCTTTATTGTGAGGTGGATCCGTGCACCGTGTGTGCCAGGTCACGGGTTACCAGTGGTGCTGAAGTGAGCGGACACGTTCATGCTGCTTTCTGGGTTTCCTGAATACTTCTGTAGTGTTTTCAGGTCTCCTCTCTTTTACCTTTGATGTTTTGAAGGTAGGGTGTTCTCTTGTTTTTACTTTTTTTTCGTTAATTGCTGGAGGGTGTGTGTGCTGGAAGGGTGGGGAGGAGAGAGAGAGGAGAGTGAGAAAGCACTTCCTCTGGGGGATGGCCATGCCGCTGCAATCCCTTCTTCTCCTTTCCGTTCTCCTTTCCGTACACCACCCCGCCCCGAATGTTTTTTAAGCTGCAGGTTGGGGCTGGAACTGTATAATCAGCCATGTGCGATCCAGCCCTCTTCACCACCACGCCTCCACCTAGCTCCTTTCACCTTATTTTTATTGTTGAGGGTGTTACATGTGTCACTATACCTTCTAAACTCCCTGTGGTTATGATAGAAGTGGTGAAGAGCTTATTGTCCAGTCCACGGATGTCCCACACTTTTATTAGGGTCCAGCAGATGGCGTAGCTGTTACGTGGCCAGCCTCCCACATGGCCAACTGCAGTTGAAGTCCTGGATTCAGCTTGAAGCTCACGCCCAGTGTGTGTGTGCTGCTTGCTCAAGATCCCAGGAGGAGAATGGGGGAGAAGGGATTGCGGAGTGGCCACCCTTCTGGGGGTTGATTTGTCACTTTCTTCCTCACTATCTGTGCCTCTCTCTGTCTCCAGGAAGTATATGAGCACTAAGGCAAAAATCCTTTACCAAAAAGAAAGAAAAGTAAAAATGAATTAAGTTCTAAGGCATCTTCCCATACCTGTTTTATCCGTGTTATTGAAGCCAGATGGCTATTATTCGAACCTGTCATTGAGTTGGTTGAGTTAGCACTGGGAACTGTTAGTGTCCTCCTCTCCCCCAATCATGGATGTATGGAGATTGAGGCATTGAGGGCATTTTGGGTTCTGGTCAACAGAGAGACCTCCGATAATGGATAATTTACACTTTATTTATTTGCCAGAGGGCCTGTGCGCTTGCCAAAAACAGAGGAGGGGGAGGAAGAAAAGCACCCTCTAATGGAAGAAGGCGTCACACCACAGCCTCTTCTCCATCTCTGTGCTCTGTCAGGTTTGGGGCATGCATGATGCAGGCGTTCCCCCAACACACATGTGCCTGGTTTTTTTTGTTTTTTTTAGAGTTTTTTTGCTATAGGATGCATGCACTCGCTGGAAAGACAGAGAAAGATAGAGACAAATTACTCCCCAGAGGGATGACCATGCAGTAATCCCTTCTCCTTCAGTCTCCTCTGGATCTTGGGCACGCATACACATGCACCCGGTATGAGTTTAAGCCACCAGGTCCGGGACTCAAACCATGGTGGACCGCATGGGAGTCTAGCGACATAGCCATTGTGCCAACTGCTGGTCCAGTCTTATATATATATTTTTTATTTTATTTAGTTTTTTGCTATAGGGTGCATGTACTGGGGATGAAGGGGGTGAGAGGGAGAGGGAGAGAGAGAAGAGAAAGCAC